AGACAGGAGGGCCTGCCATGCTCTGGTTCATGGGGTCATGAAGAGTCGGACACGACTTAATGACTGAACAACAACAAATCCCCATGTCAATAATTTGAAATAAAACTGGATTAGGCTACCTTATTTTAGAAGAAGCAGGAAAAATGAATCATATGTTACCCATGGATGACATAAAGTTATATGCAAAAATTCCACGGACATAGAATCACTGTTAAACATAGTGTGAATACTCAATGAAGACACTGAAGCGAAATTTGGAATTGACAAATATGCAGCTCTGCCTTTACACCATGGCAAGACCCAAAAACTAGATTGAATACAACAAAAAATAGTGATATTATAACATTCTATCAAGTGATGAAAATTATAATATATTGGAATATTAGAAGCAGATAACATCCTTCATACAAAAATTAAAGATCTAACAAAAAGGGAATACATCAAAAAGACTGCAGAAAATCTTAAATCAAAATTAAATTGTGTAAATCAAAGCCATAAACAAGCAGGCAGTTCCTACAATGGGATACCCAAAATGAATTAGAAGAACTGGATCAAGAAACATGCAAGCAAGTGAAGATGCATCATGCAATACATCTAAAGCGTGATGGGGACAGATTATATTTTCCACAAATAATTGGAGGCCATGGATTACTGTAAATACAGCAGGTAGTAGAGGAAAAAAAGAAGCCTAAATTATCATGTTAGTTCAAATAGAGAAAAATTACTTGAGGATGTGAAAATGGAGAATATTTTGGAAACAACAGAAACAAAGGCTCAATATAAGAAACAACAATTTGAAAATAAACTGAACTGTTGAAAAATATACTACTACATGGACAACACCTGAGAAATATTGATGGAAAGCATGATAATAATTCAACATGGGCATGGCTAAAACTGGGGACCATTAAGAAAGAAAATGAAGACTTAATTTTTGCATAAGAACAAGCACTTCAAACTAATTCAGGGTTGCTACTGAAATGTTATTTTTCATTTCCCTGACAAACATTTGTCAATTGCCCTGACCACTATTCTAATATAACCACAAGTTAAAAATGAACAGTCCGTGTTGCATTAATGCAAGTCTTAATGAACAGGGTTGCTACTGAAATGTTATTTTTCATTTCCCTGACAAACATTTGTCAATTGCCCTGACCACTATTCTAATATAACCACAAGTTAAAAATGAACAGTCCGTGTTGCATTAATGCAAGTCTTAATGAAATGTTCCACTCTAAAACTACACAAGTCTCAACTGCAAAAATATTTGTCAAAGTAAAAGATTTAATATCCGTTTCTTTCAACATTAACTGCAGCAACATCTGTTTTGGAATTTCACCAAAAAAATTACACCAAGATACAAACTTCAATTCAAGTAAACTCTGAATGCTAACAAATGACATAACATTTTTGGTATTGTTTTAAAGGTACACTAAAAATTATATAAATATTCTATCTAAAATGGTTTCTCTGAAGCCACATTACAAACCTTATAATTTTGAAACTGCAGTAATAATCAAGTTAGAAATTAGAATACAAGTAATCTGTTTTGAAGGAATATTTAATATATAAAATGATCACTTCTACAGTTTTCTCTTTTTGCAACTCTTTTAGTTTCTCATTAATTATTTCCTCTTCTATTTTGGCTTCTTCTCTCAGTCTTTCTCTCTTTTTTTAGCATTTTCAAGATGTTTGTCACTCACGTTTCTTCTTTTCCTCTTTCTTCTGAATGTCTTCTTGTTGCTTATGGTGTTTAGCCGCTGTAATTATTTCCTCTTCCATTTTGGCTTCTTCTCTCAGTCTTTCTCTTTTTTTAGCATTTTCAAGATGTTTGTCACTCACGTTTCTTCTTTTCCTCTTTTTTCTGAATGTCTTCTTGTTGCTTATTGTGTTTAGCCTCCAACTGATGTGTGTTGCGTGCATGAACATGGTTGTTGTGGGTTTTTTGGGCTCTTTGGCTGTGTTCTGAAGGTTGTTCTCCCTAACGTTTCACCAGTCTCTGTGGCCGGCATCTTCAGAGGACAGTTTGACAAAAAACACAAAACGAAGCATCCACACCAGAATCAAAGAACATGAGAGACACTGCAGACTAAAACAACCAGAAAAATATGCAGTACCTGAACATGCCCTAAAACAAGCTGGACATGAAATTCTATTTCAAAATACTGAAATACTGGACAACACCAGCTTCCCAACACATTACGTCAGACTGCACATGGAAGCCACTGAAATCCACAAGCACCAGCAGAACTTCAACAGCCAAGTTCTGTTGAGTTTAAAACCTTCCTCTTTTTTGTTGAAGTTCTGCTGGTGCTTGTGGATTTCAGTGGCTTCCATGTGCAGTCTGACGTAATGTGTTGGGAAGCTGGTGTTGTCCAGTATTTCAGTATTTTGAAATAGAATTTCATGTCCAGCTTGTTTTAGGGCATGTTCAGGTACTGCATATTTTTCTGGTTGTTTTAGTCTGCAGTGTCTCTCATGTTCTTTGATTCTGGTGTGGATGCTTCGTTTTGTGTTTTTTGTCAAACTGTCCTCTGAAGATGCCGGCCACAGAGACTGGCGAAATGTTAGGAAGAACAACCTTCAGAATACGGCTAAAAGAGCCCGAAAAACCCACAACAACCATTAGATCCCGGCCATGAAAACCTTCGCGAATATACATTTCTTTTGTTTTTCCAAGATGAAATTGTGGAGCTATCTGGCTGAGAACATTCACTTGAATAATTCACTGATGTTGTTACACGAGTTAAATGACATCTTCAATACGTTGCAAAAAATTGAGGCACTCTGCTGTCCTAACACAATCCTTGAATACATAGGCAGCCATACTAGTTTGTGTGGTGGGTAATTCTTTGCCATTTTCATCACTCTGATCATGTTTTCCAGTTTCACAAGGGCTGTCTCTTCACCCTCTTTGGTTTTACTATCTGAACTTGTATTTGGCTTTGAACCTAAACATACTGCAATGGACTTGATTTAATTTTCAGGTTCTTTTAAAGTAATGATCCTTGTCATTGAGACTCCACAGCTCTAATTCCCATATCACTTCATTCAAACATTACAATAACCTTTGCATTTGTTCCCAGCAACCGGTGAGAGCCATGGGATGATGTCAGGGAAGAGGATGAGAGAGCTGCTATTCTCTAAACTCCAGAAGGAATAAGCAATTACAGTGGTGCTTTGCTACAAGATTGCCTCGTGGGATGAAAAACCCACAAGACGATTGGTTTTTGCGATCACTGTGGTGCCTCGCAAGACTTTTTTTCTATGACCATGCTTCGCAAGACTTTTTTTGAGACTGATGCTTCGCAAGACTTTTTTTTGAGACCAATGCATAGGGAACCTCGCAAGACGATTTATTTACAACGATTTTCGCGGAACGAATTAAAATCGTCTTGCGAGTCACCATTGTACATTAAATAATTTACTTTGCATGGTGCTAATTGACTGTGAAATCCAACAGCAGCAAAACTCTGTGATGGATTTAGTAGGAGACAAAACATCCATTCCATACACAAGCATGACCCAAAAACATGCTTATCTTTATATGTAAGTTAAATGCAGTACTAGCAGGTAGGGATGAAAACAGTTAGATGTTTAAGGTCTGTATCTTGCTAAACATTTAAACTAGCCTTGCTTTGCAAATAGACAACTTTATCATATTATTTACTTGCTTAGCATAAAACAGAACATTGTTTACAAGTATTGTTTGATGGTTTGATATCAGTTGGTTTTATTGATTTTATTGATCCTTTTGAATATACTAATGTTCTAATTTTTGCCCAGCTACAATACGGAGTTTCCTGTGTTGGTTTATCTTGAAAATGCTACAAGCAGACCTTGGAAATCATGCAGGGACAGAGCTCAACAAACACATGAGGCTGGTTGCTGGTGGTGGAGCTGAGAAAAAGGTGGAGCTGGGAAAGCCATCATTAAGTTTTACTTGAACAGCAGTGCCTCGACTTACAAACTTAATCCATTCCAGAAGATGGTCATAACTTGAAATGGTCATAAGTCGAAGCACCATTTCCCATAGGAATGCACTGAAATGCAATTAATCCGTTCCGGCCGAAGGAAAAAAAATCACCCCCCAAAAAAAACCCCAACAAAAAAATACAAAACACTGCAAGACCGAATGGAAACGTGATTAATCCGTTCCGGCCAAAGAGGGGGGCAGGGCGGAAGAAAAGCAAGCAAACCATGCAAGACCCATCAGAAATGCAAAAAGAGCAAAGCAAAATGCAAACAAAGCATGCAAGGCCCATCGGAAATGAATAAAAGCAAAGCAGAAAGCAAGCAAAGCGTGCAAAACCCATCAGAAATGCAAAAAAGCGAAGCAAACAGCAACCAAAGCATGCAAGGCCCATCGGAAATGAAAAAAAAGCAAAGCAGAAAGCAAGCAAAGCGTGCAAGACCCATCAGAAATGCAAAAAAGCAGAGCAGAAAGCAACCAAACCCTGCAAGACCCATCAGAAAGAAATCAAAGGGAGCAGATCAGTAATGCAATAACAAATCAAAAAGCAACGGAAGCATGCAAGACACATCGAAAATGGAGGAAAACCCCGCAGAAAGCAACCAAACCCTGCAAGACCCATGGGAAATGGGGGGGAAATACCCCCAAAAGCAAACAAACCCAAGACCCATCAGAAATGGGGGAAAAAACCAACAAACAAAACCCCCAAGACACATCACAGCATAGAAACATAATCCCACCACCCAGTTCAAAACCATGCTGCAAAACCCACCCAGAACAGTTTTTAAAAAGCAGAAAGCAGCACCTTACCTTACCAGGCAGTCCCAAGTCTCCTCCGATCGCACTCACTCTAACTGCTGGGGTAAAAGAGCTACAAAGGAGCAGCCTCTTCGCCCACCAACCATTAGCAATTTGAATTACCCGCCTTTTTCCCCTGCCTTTTTCTGATTGTAACTGGAAGCTCTGGCTGCAAGTCAATTTTGCAGCCGGAGCTGGTTATAACTCAAAATGGTCGTAAGTCAGAATGTTCGTAAGTTTGGACCCTGAGAGTCCTGATGCAGCTAATGGGCTACATGCCTCTGACTTAAGGAAAGCTAGAGACCATTATGGTGCACTAAGGGGAAAAATCTGCCATGATCTATAGATATGGCTGTCAGCCTACGTCAAAAACTTATTCCTTAAGATAAAGTATATCTAAAATAATTTTTAACATCCTTACTCTGCTTTTGTCAAAATTTGAGTTTTAGGGAAACTCACCTCTTCTTTTGTGTTGTTTGGAGAGCCCTCAACTTGTACTCCATTTTCCTGTTAGACAATTTTTACATGATGTAAATAAGAATTAAAGCACCTGGATTATCAAAATGTTGATTTAGAATATTAATATGACTATAAAATTAGGTATAATGAAGATAATACTCAGATACCTTACAGATCATTCCAATGAAATATTTTCTACTACAGTGGACCCTCGACTTACAGAATTAATCCGTATTGGAACAGTGGCTGCAGGTCGAAAAGTCCATAGGTCGAGGATCCATTTCCCATAGGAATGCATTGAAAACCCATTAATCTGTAACTAGCCTAAGAAAAAATACCCCCCACCCGCCCACACAGAATAAATACAGCTTACCAGTCCGAAGCCTTCCAGGGGTCCACCACCACCACCATCGCCGCTGCCCAAGGCCTCCGAGGGCTTCCCCGCCGCTACCGGAGGCCTCATGGGGGTCCCTCACTGCCACCATCACTGCTGCCTGAGGCTTCTGAGGGTTTCCCCGCCACTGCCGGAGGCCTCTCGGAGGTCCACCACCCCTGCTGACTTTCCCAGGGTGGACCGGGCCTATCAGGAGAGGGCTTCCCCTGGTAGGCCCGGTCTCCCCCCCCAGGAAAGCCTGGTAGCCCCAGTCTACCAGGCTTCCCGGGAAGTAGACCGGGCCTACTGGGGGAAGCCCTCCCCCGGTAGACCCAGTGTACCCTGGGAAAGCCGGTGGCAGTGGACGGCCTCCAAGAGGCCTCCCATGGCAGCGGAGAAGCCCTGGAAGGCATCCGGAGGCATGATCGGCGCTTTCCCCACCTCCCCCTTCTGGTCCATAGGTCAATTCTCCGGCTGCAAGGCAGTGAAATTTTGCAGCCGGAGAAGTCTGTAACTTGAAAAGTCCGCAGGAGGATCCCTGCGTAAGTCAAGGGTCCACTGTATTAAACTACTGATTCTTGGAATAATTAAAAAACCTGAGTTATAAATGTACTAATGGCAGAAAGTCTTTACTGACATAACCTGAAACTGTAACAAGAGTCTTGCAGCCTTTTAAAGAATAATAACTTTATTATATTATTTGCAAAAGTCAACATATATGATTAGTACAATCCCAACCACACCTGTTGCTTAGTGTAAGAAAAATAGTGACTTTCAGTCCATTCCCACCCAGCAAATGAAACTCTTCACTGGAGCATGCATGCACACAAGCCAGGAAACTCTATTTGCCAGGCAGGAACTGACTGAAAGTTACAAATTTACTTATGCTAAGCTACAGGATTTCAGGCATTTACACAGATTTTCAAATAAGTATATATAGGAACACATTAGAAAACTTGTTCTTAAAAGTACAGGAATAACTAAGGAAAATCTAAATCATACCTCTTTTTTCTCTTTGTTTTCTTTGTCGTCAGCATCTCTCTGCCAAACACTTTTCACATCAAAGTCAAAAGGCCCTCTTTTAGGTTCATAGTTGGCAGGCTGATCAGTCTTAAATTCTTCATGAATCATGTAGTCTGGCATGGCTTGAATTCGAGGTCTGCATACAAAATTTAACGTCTATGATTTGTTTTGTCTCTCACAAGTGATAAAATATTCTTTTTATCTTAGCAATTTACTTCCTCCCCACCAGCTACTGCAAAGAAATTACAAAATACTCACTTAGACTCATCAGATGTGGCTGTCTTGCTATGATGGGAGTACCACTCGGGTGCACCGTAAGATCCCAGGCACACTTTTCGTGGAGTAGGTGTAAAGTGCCTCAACAAATCTTAAGCCAAAGACATTTACAGAGAAAAAGATATTTAAAATGTTGTACATTTAAAAATAGTAAGTAAACAATAAAGTTTTGTGCAGACTACTGAAAAAAGGAAGCAATATTAGAAACACACTAATATACAGTGGTGCCCCGCATAACGAGCGCTTCATTTAACGATGAATCCGCATAGCGATGGCTTTTTTGCAATCGCAATGCGATGTTTTAAATGGTAAAACATTGCTTTGTGACGATCGGTAAGCTGTTTCGCAATATCAGTACTAACCACAGGACAAAAACAAAGAATGTCTGGGGGGCTTCATTATGAGAAATTTCACGTGATCTTAGCAGCTGCAACCAGCCACAGCAACAAGATGTGGATGGCATTGGAAAACCCTTATGTTATATTGCCCAAGTACATCAAAAATGTACTTCTAGACAAAAATGTGAAGGGCTCTCAGCCCTGGGCAGGCTTTAGTCAGTCACAAGGTACTAAGAACCTTCAAGCTGAGAGTTACAGTAGGAACCTGGAACATGCAAAATATGTATGTGACAAGAAATTATATTCTTAAAGATAATACCAACTGATATATGCTATATAGTAAGAGCCAAAGTGTTGTAGTGGATAGAAGTTTGGATGAGGTCCCAGGAAACCTGCACGGGACACATGCATGCATAGAACAAAAGATATCTTAGATTAAAATTATATCCCCTACTTAATTTCAAGAGGCTCTCCTTCTATTTCATAGTTCACTATTTTCCTTCTTGCTAGTTCTCAACTTACTGAGTGAAACTTCAAAGTTAGGGGTGGGGTGAAACTCCTGGCAAACCAAGATAGCTAAGACACGCTGTATCTGTAATCATTAAGATATTATGTAGTGTAATCACAACAGTTTGGCTGGGGGGGGGTTCATATATTTGGCGGGGGCACTTTGATCCTTCCCATTTCCCAAAATGTCTTATCATAGTCTATCAACTTTCTTTGTATAAATCTTGTGAGCCCCCTGAAATATCCATGATGTCCATATGAATTTAATCACCAGGTCGGCCTCCTTGTTTTGCCAACTTTACATATTCTGAGTCGGTGTCCTTGATCCACTTCCTCCGCCCGCCAAATGTAACCTCAGTGTGAGAATCTCCAAAATCACCAAGACCCGGAATCTGAGAGGCTGGTTGTTGTGGAGTCTCTGAATTAGGAAGGTCCTCTGACCGCTTCAATGGTACATGATAGTACCAATCTGTATTGACAAGAAAGAGATAGCAATGATAAATAGCACACAGTTACTATTTGTATAATTAGAATGCTCCCTCACCCACAAACCAATGTCATGCAGCACCTCTAAAATTAACACTTTTATTTCAGTTTGGGCATCTGCAGATTAAAATCTACTTGTTCGGGTTTACATAGATAGTATAAATGTGTGGCAATGGAAACCAAGTGAATTGGAATGCACAAGATATTTACAGCATTTTTAATGCTGGTAATGAACTTTGAAGTGTTCATTATATAAATATCAGCGTTCCATGTCTAAGTCGCACTGGCCATGTGACCACAGAAGACTGTCTTCAGACAAACACTGGCTCTATGGCTTGGAAATGGGGATGAGCACCACCTCCTAGAGTCGGACATGAATGGACAAAAATTGTCAAGGGGAACCTTTACCTTATATAAATATCTGGGCAATAGGTAAAAGTTAATAGCTAACATGTCTTGTTGGCTAATACAACATTATTACACTTATGTCTCTAAAGTGTTAGAATGAGAATTTTGTTCTCAAGAATGAGCTGGTCGCACTGAGGTCAGTTTTGCAACAGAAAACAACTGTTAGGCTGTACACAAGATCATAGTGAAAACCAGCTTATGTATACAATGGCTGAAATCCTGTTGTGCTGTTATGCAAAAAGCATTAACTTTCAGAAGCAAATTGCCATAAGTTAAAAAATCTCCACAGTCCTTCCTTATCTGTTGCACATCAAATTGTATGATTCAGCATGCAACAGATAATGCCATGGAGATTTATGGCAATTTGCTTCAAAAGGTTACACTATTTGCATAGTTGCATAATCCATTTTCAGCCAGTGTTAAGAACCCCACTCCCCCTTTTTAGCCACCTTAAGATCAGTGACAGAGAAAAGAATCCAACTGGTGTTTGCACAAGGTTCAAATAAGTTGCAGCTAGCTAATCAACAAATTGTTGAGAGACGTTGTTCAGTCACTTGTGGAACTGGGCACATGACCATACATGTAACATCAGGAATGGCAGCACATAAAACCCTGTTTCAGAACATTTCAATCCAGCTGGACACTCCAAAGACTTGCAGGTGACCTTTTTTGGGTGGGGGTGGGGACACACTACAGAACCAGACTTGAAAGAGAAACAGCGAAAACAAGGGAGCTAGCTATATGGATCTAAAAGAACAAAACTAAATCTCAAATCTAAAAGTGAGCAACACTGTCTCTAAAATCAACTGTAATTCTACAAGAGATCCTAGCTTTTAAGTTCTTCAGAACCTTTCATCTGACTATATAGTTCTTAGGAGAGAAAGAAGTAAAATGAAATTCTAAACATCTGACTAATCATTCCACATGATGATATCTGTGATTAAACTCAGTCCTAAATCTGATAATGTGGGACTGAGTTTTTTCATAAACCTTTTGGCTTAAAATACCTAGTCAATTTCTGGACACTGCTGCATACTATTGTAACTATAAGGTAAAAGGTAAATTTGTCATCCCCTTGACAAATGTCCAGTCATGTCAGACTCTACCATGTTTCCTTGAAAATAAGAAAGGGTCTTATATTAATTTTTGCTCCAAAAACACATTAGGGCTCATTTTCAGGGGATGTTTTATTTTTTTTCATGTACAACCACCTACATTTATTCGAATACAGTCATATCTTCTTCTGCTTGCTGCACAATGGTGGAAGGCGGGGTTTCATTAACTGGGGCTTATTTTTGGGGTAGGGCTTATATTACGAGCATCCTGAAAAATCATACTAGGGCTTATTTTCAAGTTGGAGAAACAGGGTAGGGGGCAGTGCTCAGCCTCGTTTCCAAGCCACAGAGCCAGCATCTGTCCACAGACAGCTTCCGTGGTCATGTGGTCAGCACGACTAGACACATAACGCCATTACCTCCTCACCGTGGTGGTACCTATTTATCTACTTGCATTTTACACGCTTTTGAACTGCTAGGTTAGCAGGAGCTGGGACAAGTGATGGGAGTTCACTCCGTTACGGGGATTCGAACTGCTGATATTTTGACCTTGCAGCCCAGAGGCTTTGCGGTTTAACCCACAGCGCCACCACCCCTGTAACTGTAGCTGGTCCTAATAAAGGTACTGCCTGTCTATAGATTTTGAATTTTGTTTCGATTTTATGAATCAACATACTTTCATTTTTTTCCAGCACTTCGGCAAATACCAAGTTTAAATAATTTACTATCATTTTCTTCTTTGGCTTCTATTTCAGCAAATGAGCAGATTTGCAATTAAGTCTTCCATTAATGGCCTGTGTGCTCATCTACTTTTCTGCACAGTGCATTTCTTATGACTATGCTGCCAATCTGCTACAAACCAAGTTATTCTCAGCAAGGTATCATTTTGATACTCTATATCTATAAATGTCACATAAGTATGATTATAAACTGTATACTTGCCACATGGTGCATATCTGTTAGGGGGTCCACGGGTGTCTTTATTTGTGTTCCTCATACCTGTACAGTGGAAAGGAAGTACTGTATGTTTTTAAAAAATAGAGATGTCCACATATCTTCCTAGTCTACATAAAATTAATGCCAAAACTGAGAGTCCTATGCATTTCATTTCATTTGTTCTATCTTTCTTTTTTTTTATTCCTTTCTTTTTGTACCCTGCCTTTCTCCTTTAAAAAGATACAATGCAGCTTATACCACTGAATGACAACATGTAAAGCTGAAAACAATGAGCATACAATGGTGGTTTATATCATTAAAAAGACAATATTTAAAGCTAAGAACAAGGAGTATAAAGAGCCAGCTTACTTCATTAAAATGCCATATTAAAGCTAAAACAATAAGTATGCAAATACTATAGTCTGAGAGAAGGTAAAAACAAGTAATCCTAAAGAGCCAGTCAGAACAGTAATGCATAACAATCTGAAAGTCACTCATGTAACCAGCCATATAGCCAGTCACTGAGAACAATCTTGCCTGAAGAGAAAGGTCTTTGCCTGCCTGTAGAAGGATAGCAAAGATGGGAGAGAGTTCCAGAGTATGGGAGCGACAACAGAAAAAGCCCTCTCCTGGGTCCCCATCAGACACACCCGTGAAAGCGGCAGGACCGAAAGGCCTCTCCTGATGATCTTAACACACAAGCTGGCTCATAGAGGGAGGCAAGGTCTTTTGAGATAGCTTCGACCCAGGCCATTTTGAGCTTCATAGGTTAAAACCAGTACGTACTTTGAATTGTGTCTGGAAACTGATAGACAGTCAATGGAGCTGCTGTCATGGGAGAGTTATGTAAATCCCTGTAACCAGCCCCAGTCAGCAATCTGGCTGCTGCATTTTGGACCTGCGGAAGCTTCCTGACACTTTCCATCGGCAGCTCTACAGTAATCCCACCGGCCTTCTAACCACAGCTGTTTAAATTCTAATCAGAATCATTTGCAGTAGATAAAAATTAAACAGAAGCAGAAGGCAAGCTAAATAAAAAGGCCTTTTATGTCCAAAAAAAGGCTCAAGCTATGTAATATAATTTCATAACATCCTTACCAAAAAGGAACTGCCAGTGAACTCAGTAGGTTTTATTGCTAAGTAAACTGGCACAGGAGTTGCCTATGGACATACTGTATCTCCAAGAGAAAAACAGCTCCCCAGTTTGAGGGCAGCCACCAAGGAAGTTACTAATTCTACGCCAAACACGTCTCTTAAACTTACTTCATGTTTCCTTTATAGTTAAGGCAGATTCACCAAGAAAGCAATGGTTGTATTTCCCTCCTAAAACACACACAATTTTAAGGAGCAAGCCTGTTCTCGGAAGGATTACAAGCCACCTTTTGCCCATAACTGTTTATTATGATGCTGATGATTTAATCTCACAACACTCTTCTGCTCCATATAAGAAAAATATCAGGATATAGAAAAATCGGAAATAAACAGCATCAATATGTTTTCAATAGCTGCATGGCAGGCAGGTATTTAGCAGGTGTCAGGACTACTTTTCTATTCCACCTAAAGTTTACCTTCAGCTATGCACACATACTCGTTTTTATTTCTTGCCTGTTTTAAGTGTATGTGTGTGTGTTTTTGGGAGGGGGAGAACTTACAGAGCTAAAACATTCCCTCACCTCCTAGCTCCCCTTTTCCTCGAAGGAACCCACGGGAAAACACTCTTTTCTCCCTGTATCTGTCATTTATTTCCCCAGAACACAGTCAACATGGCATACACACAATGGATCCAGATCCTACATCAGTCACCAAACTAGCTCTCTTTGGGCCCATGTTCCTTCTCAGAAATCTAACCTACCTTGCAAGGATGTTGTGAAAATAAAATGGGAGTCGCGCCCCCCCCCCCGATATATAATTTAGAGAGACAGAGAAACACGGCGAGAGACACATAAAAACCCACCGCCGCCACCGACTGTTAGGCTCCCCCGCGCCGCCTGGGACCAGACAAGGGGCGACGCCGCCGCTCGCCGTTGGCAGCTTCCCGCCGGCCGGAGCGTTCGAACAGACACGAACCGTACAGAGGAAGGAGGGGGAAGGGGGGGAAGGCCCCACCAGAGCGGCCGCGGCGACCGTAAACAATCTCCGTCACCACAGCAACCGGAAAGTCGCACTCTGACCGTGCGGGAGCCTTTTCCCTGCTTAGTGCGCGGCGCCGAAGCAAGAAAAGGGGCGAGGCTTCGGGCGGCGAGGGAGGTAGCAGTCCTGCTCCCGCGTATGAGAGGGCGGTAGTCCCACGCCCGCGAGGAGCAGCGGGACCGTTGGGCTGCTTCCGCCTCTCACTGAGGCGGTTTACTCAAGCCGTAGAGGTGAACCCGCTGTTTACCGTTTTTGCTCATCCCCTGGTAGAAAATACCCAAGAGTTTCCCTTCTGACATAACAAGTTTTAGCATTCGTTCTCCTGCCTAGACTCCAAAACTTCAACCGAGGAAACTTGAACCGAGGAAGTCAGGGGTCAAATGTCCTCTCCTCTGGGAAGCCTCCGGAAATCTTCCGGCGGCCATTTTCAATCATTGTATTTATACCCCGATTTTCTCATGCAGCTTTTATAGAGACACTTTCCTCCTTCGTTAGATCTGTGACATAAAGTATTATTGTATTTTAGGAAGAGATTATTCAGAAATGGTTTGCTGGTCCTCTCTTCTGGGAATACTCTGGGACCCTGCAGTTCTTTTCCTCCCCAACATCCTTTTTTGTCCCACATAGTAGAAAGTATGAACTAAAACTCGGGTTAGTTCCAACACGTTTTCAAGAAAACCATGAAAGATTCAATTTTAAATACTCTTGAAAGCTGACACACCCATGGGAATTGAAATTGGGGTACTTTGTTGTATCACTATTCTGCTTTGAAAGTTCAAAAACGAAGGGGGCAGAAACAATGGGAAACAGAATCTGAGCGACTATTTAACTTAAAAAGGAGAATAATTATGACATAATTCCCTATCTAAATTAAAACATCTCCTTTTTAACCCTCTCCACCCCAATGCATTGCATTCAGAACATTGAGATTCAGCTATTGGAGTAGAAGTTTTTATGCATGTTCAGGAGAAAAGCCTGAATTTCATAACACTTCTGCTTACCCTTATGCAGCTGCTCCAAAAGGGAGAAGCTGATGCCTCTCAAATCCTGAGCTTGACTTCTGGATTGTGCAATTTTTTCGTCTTCAACTTCATCTTTGGCTTTATGATACTAGGCAGTTTTAGCAGTTAACAAGCGTGCATATTAGGAAATAGAACAGGTATACTGTGAGTTCCTGCACTTGATGGAAAATAATGGCTATTACACTTTGTAAAACAAGTTTTTTTAATGTTTTCCAATATAGGTAAAGGTTCCCCTTGACATTTAGTCCAGTCGTGTCCAACTATAGGGGGTGGTGCTCATCCCCGTTTCCAAGCCATAGAGCCAGCATTTGTCCGAAGACAATTTATGTGGTCACGTGGCCAGCGTGATTAGACACTGGACGCTGTTACCTTCCCACCATGGTGGTCCCTATTTATCTACTCGCATTTGCATGCTTTCTAACTGCTAGGTTGGCGGGAGCTGGGACAAGCGACGGGAGTTCACTCTGTCACGTAGATTCAATCTTACAACTGCTGGTCTTCTGACATTGCAGCACAGAGGCTTCTGCGGTTTAACCTGCAGCGCCACCACATCCCTTCGTTTTACCAGTATAGCAAAACCTAACTCAGCATCTTTTGAGGAACGGTATGTTTTCATACCTATGTAATGCTTGTAGCACAATGCACAGCAGTTTAACAGATATCCTCAAAATTCTTCATTTGCTAGATGATTGTGCTTTGTGAGCGAGGAATGCAAGATACACCTGGGTTTCTAGGGAAAGATGCTGGTTGTACCTAGCAGTGCAGTCTGCCTGGGTATCTAGCTACTTTCCCATACTTACCTTTTTCACACAGTGCACAACTGAGTTAGTTATAAATTAGCAAACGTTACAAAATCCCCCCCAAAATCTGGTACTTTTTTCCTTTTAAAAGGAAACAGGGAAAGCGATCTGACAGCTGCAAAAGCACATGCCTTATCTCACCAGAAAAGGTCATTTTAAAAGGAGCAGTCTCCCTTTATGTGACCATTCCATCTACTGGGGAATTGGTACCAACCTAACTCTTCAAAATAGTAGCCATAAATGAACAATTGTGTAAGTAAGTACAGCATTATACAGCTTACTATTGTTTCATCTTGTCTTCTCCACCAAGATGTGGAAAGGCACCAGCGTAAACTTTTTACACACTTTAGAGTGTGATCACATAGGGAAATTGATTACAATTTAGACCACTTGTGGAATAGTCAGGTGCAGTCTGTTTCCCAGCGGTCACACAGTTTATGCAGAAATTTACTCGCGTCCAAACCCAATCTGTGTCCAAACTGAATGCATGGGCACAGATTGGGGGCAGGCTGGAGTACACAATTATTCATTTACATATATGCTACTTCTGGCTTCCCCCTTTTTAAAAAATAAAACTGGATAAAAAGATGGCTATTGTGAAAGTGATATACACTTCAATAATACTCTTGATACATATTTGACTATTTTACCTGGCTAAACACTATAGATTTGCTGCCTTTAACAATATTGTATCAAGAAAAAGATACAAAGACTTTCACATTAGGAAAAATGGATTTACAAGTAGATTTTTTCTTATGTCTTCTATTGTTGAAAAATAGTTGTTACACTTCAGATTATCTTTTAAAGAGCCTAAACAAGTGCAAGGTCTGACATTTTAATTTACACCCCCTGCATTTAATATTGCACATAATTAATTGTGGCAAGGAACTGAATGCAATGATTAATTTTATGTTGTTTCATGTGTCCTTTCTTATTCATTGTTTCAGCCTAAAGTGTTAAGCACATAAAATATGTACAGCAGCCAAAGAACCTCAAGGAGTATCTACTCAGCAGAAGAATCTAATGAAGCAGGCAATGATTTAGACTCTGACACTCAACATCTTTTAGAGAAGTATGCATAATTTTCATCATAACCAAATAATTTTAGTATTGAAGAAGTACACATTTAAATAGAATGGAATGCTTTCTCTTTATTCTTACAAATGTGCTTGTTTGACCTTTCAAAGGAGGGGGATATTTTCAGTCAAATGACTAGGGGAACTAAATTTTGTTTTACTCTGGTAAGCTTTCACAGGAATATAAATTTATTTTCTTGCTGATGTTCCTACCATCATTTAGGACAGATCCCAGTGCTCTGTTATGGAAATCCTGAATCTCTCTCAGATTCAGTTCCTGACTGAATTAGCACTTATTTTTCAGCTAAACCAGTCCTAAAGCAAGTTACGGAAAGAGTTTTAATGGACTGTGTGATTGCTCTATGCATGTGTAGCTGCACACATAGTTAGTGTTATTAAGCAAATTCTATTTTCTGTTTATGAAAATTATGCAAGAATACAGCAAGGTCATTTTAGGACTAGAAAAAAAGATGAAGGTACTTATAAGGGGGAGAACATTATCAAATTATGAATAATGTGAGACAGGATCACAGGTCTTTGGAGACTCAAGAGTAAAATTTAGTAGCTAAAATGTGGTAATTGCTTGTGCCTGATGAGTACAGAGGCTATCACCAGGGTATTAGGGGAACAATCTATTTGCACCTGCTGGGTCAGCAGTAAAGCTCAAGAGACAAAGGGAGTGAATCAAATAACAAAATTTTTCTGAGATTTTCTTTTGAAAAAAAGTAAAAAAGCAGATACCTAAACCTTCATTTAAGGTTTTTAAGGACTACTAATCTTAGAAATGTTTGATTTTTAAAAGCCAGTGTTTAAAGTGCTGGACTGGGACCTGCTAGATCCAAAACCACAGTTGTGACCTTGAGTGACATCTCTTTGGGTTGTTGTGAGGTTAAACTGTGAGGACAGCATATATGACATTTTGAGCTTATTGGAGGAAATGTGGCATATAAATATAATAAATGAATAAAAACATAATAATTCCATTTTTTAATTATTATATTAAATTGTTGACATTTATATCCTGCCTTATGTTAGAATTCAAAGCAACAATGCAAGACTATATAGAATCAATATAATATCAAAATAAAAACACTGCAAAGCTATTCATATAACAGAAGCACAAATAAAATCAGTCCAGCAACATAGAATCTACTTTTACAATGTGGAACTAATGTAGTTAGCAGTCCCAGTCCACAACAGAGAATAAAATACTTTTTCATACTGTGCACAGTTAAGGTAAACAATGATTCACAGAGGAGTGTCTTGTTAGTCTGTTATCAAAAACAACATATATAACAACATATTTGGGGTAAACCTACTGAAACCAATGAACTTAGTGTAGCAATAACTTTTCAAAAGAAAGTCATACTCAGGTGTATATATGCTGTATGGTTCATGAAGCTTTATGAATTGTTTAAAAAGAAACAGATTTTCCAAAACATTTGCTTGCCCCGAAGTATAACCTGATATAGAAGTGTTGCCAGTAAACGAAAGTGTCAGACAAGGGTATATTTTATACCACCTTATCTTTTCAGACCATATGCAGAACATATCATATGAAAAATTTGATTAGATTTAGTTTAAGGAGGGGTGAAAACTGGTGGAAGGAACATCAATAATATAACATATGCAGATGATACCGTATTATACTTGCAAAAATGGTGATGACTTTGCAGATGATACCATATTATACTTGCAAAAATGGTGATGACTTGAAATGGCAGTTAAGAAAAGCTAAAGAAGAAAGTGCAAACATGGGATTACAGTTGAACATCAAAAGTCATAGTACAGAAAAATTGCATTACTTCAATGCAGAGAACAAAGAAATCAACATTGTTGAAGATATTTTTATACTTTAGTTCAGTCATCAATCCAAATTGATTACAGCCAAGAAGAAGGCTGAGACTTAGAAGGGCAGCTATGAAAGCAACTAGAAAATATATTTAAGGGTAAGCATGTGTCGCTAGAGATGAAGGCCAAGATCATCCATATTATTGTATTATTAATTAGTCCATATGGATATGAAACCAAAACAGTGAAAAAAGCTGACAGAAAAATAATAATTCATTTGAAGTGTGGTGTTAGAGGAGAGCTTTACAGGCATCATGGGACTGCCAGAAAGACAAATAGTTGGAGCTTGATAAAATGAAGCCTGAAGTTTCTCTAGAACTAAAATAACAAAACTGTGGCTATTCTACTTTGGGCATATCATGAGAAGACAAGATTTACTGGAAAAGACAGTAATAATAGGAAAATTTGAGGGCAGTAATATAAGAAGAAGACTTAATGTGAGATGGGCTGACTTTGTAAAGGAAGCCATGTCATTTAGTTTGCAAGATGTAAGCAGAGCTTTAATGATAGGGCCTTTTGGAGGTCAATAAGTTATAGGGTCATTATAAGTTGGTAATGACTTGACAACACATAACAACAAGCACTAGTTCCATTTAATTTAATGGGCTTGCTCCAAGTTTGGAGACATCCCAATTAGAGAAACCCATAACCAGTGGGTATTTACTATGATAGCTAAATGAATGTCTTGATGCTGACTAAAACATTAAATGTTCTGCTTAGTTACTTCAAGAAGCACATGAATGTAAATGCAGCTGTAGGTGGACTTTTGATGTGAGCCACCTATTCTTATGCATCATTTGAAGCAAAGCATTTCCCCCCATTTTATAGAGTGTCTCAAGGACAAAGAACATCTTGCACCTGTACAGACAATCACCCTCTCTTCCTTCATGAACGGGAAAATCCACAGTTTCCGTGCCCACCAAAAAGTAAGTTGAACTGTTGGCATAATTGATTGATTGATTTGAGATTCAGGCACACTTAGAATGAATCTAATGAATGAAATATATTTTGCAGCAGCACTGTAAAATGGATTCTACCAGCAAAATCAAAAGAAGGGGGCCCTCAAACAAAATATCATAGTTATGGAACTCAACCTCAAATCAGCACCAGATTTGGCGCAGATATAGTAGAATGTCTGCTCTTGCACTGTGCCAGATTTGGTGATATTTGAGCAAAGAGTTTTCAAGTTGTGCATTTTTTTTAAAAACTAACACTGTTTTACCCCCATGCGCATATGACTTTTCTCTACAGCTCTTAGAAAAGAGTTGAAAAATGTAGACAAGACAAAAATTGCATACCTTGGGAATAAAACCTCCATTTTAACCTCTCTTTTTTCATCTACAGGAATTGGGCTATTGATGACTCTAACTTAGCCCCTTTAATTACTGCTTTTTAGCTCCTAAAACAGCAGTCCCCAACTTTTTTCGGGCCGCAGACCAGTTGGGGGGGCGGGCTCCGTGCGCGGACTGGTTGGGGGGTGTCACGCAGGCCGGTGTGTTGCACTTGCTTAGGGGCATGTCAAGCTTGTGGGTGGGCGTGTCACGCTTGCAGGGAAGGCGAGGAATCCAGGCTCGTGACCACCGCCACCTCCACCGGATCTCTTTGAAGGGCGCACCCCAGAACAGCCGCGCCGCTTGCCCCCACATGGAGGACCGGAGGCACCAGCTTAGTTGGTCGGGCTTCATCCCCTGCCAGCAGGGCAGTGGCATCCTCCTGTGGTTCTTGGGAGGAAGCAAGGTCATCGCTCTCTGCTCCGGCTTGCTCCTGGCCGCTGGTGAAGGCTTCCAGCCCGGGCTTTGCCAGGACCAGCAGGACGACCACCAGCTGCCCCTTCCACCTTGTGGAAGGTGGCCTGGCCGCCATCCTTGTCCACCGGGTAGGGGAGGCGCAGGCGGCTGGGTGGGGTGAGTTGAGCTGCAGCTCCCGCCTGTGGATCTCCAGCTGGGCCTGGGTGGTGGAGCTCAGCAAAGGCAACTCAGTGGTCACCACCAGCTCATGGGGCACTCGGCGGGCGCCAAGTCGCAGTGGTAGTCCTGCAGGTCCATGTAGGAGCGCTACCTGAGGGTCTGGCGCAGGGTGGTGGCAGGGGGGGTCAGTCCAGGCCTGGCAAGAAGTGCTTCTCAACTGCTTCTAGGGCAGTGTCCTGGACAAGGCGGTGAAAGCAGACCGAGTGGGCAGCCAAGTGGAGGGTGACCAGGTGGTGGGGGCCCCAGTGTCGGCGGTAGCTCAGCTCCTCACAGCCGGGGGCCAAGCAGTGTGGCAGGGACGAGCGGCTGCTGCCCGGCGCCGAACAACACTCAGACCACCCCACCAGCCAGAGGGTGCAGAGGTTGAGGTAGCAGGGGTGGAGGGGTATGCTGTAGGCCAGTGATGGTGAACCTATGGCACACGTGCCACAGCTGGCACGCGGAGCCCTTTCTTTTGGCACGTGAGCCATAGGTTGCTACTCTCCCGTCCCCCCTGTGCAGCCAAACCTCGTGAGGCAGCTGCAGCCAGGATTCCCCCTTCCACCACCACTTCCAGGTCCTCCGGGTCTGTCGCCATGATTCCCCCTTAAACTGCCACTTCCAGTCATGCCACCTGCTATTCCCACCCCCCATTTTGGGCACGGGAGCCCCAAAAGGTTCGCCACCACTGCTGTAGGCCATCTCGACTGCTACCTTTGGTGTTGTCAACATCTGGGTTGTCCTTTGCTACATAAATCTTGGCATCCGTTTTTCTGCTAGCAATGCAGGCACAATATTTTGCAGCAAAATTGGGCCATTTTCTGGCGTTTTGACACATTACAAAAGCATGATATCCCACCTTCATAAACTGGAGGTTTTTTTGAAGAATTAATATCCCACCTTCATAAACTGGAGGGTTTTTTTTGAAGAATTGACCAACTTAAGTGCTTTTCATTTGAATGTTTAGGATTTCATTTTTAAAAACATTCTGAGATGTATTTCAGTAACTTTCATAAGTATATCAATAACATATAGTAATCATCCAGCCAAAACTAAGTGCATTCAACTTCCACTGATTTCAGTACCTCATTTCTAATTTTCTGGGGACAATTTTGCCAATATTATGGTGCAGTAAATTAACTTTATTTCTGAAGTAAATGTGACCATGTCATTGTGCTGTACAGCATGAGGTTTGTAATGTCATGTAAGCACATTTTGTATTATTTAATTGTACTTTTATATATTTTCCAGAAAGTATCATCAGACTCATCTTTAATTTGATAGTGCTCAGCCTAATAACCCCATTTTGCTTAGTGAAAAAACACTGCAGCACTTTATCAAGGTAAACGTGAACAGTAATCTTTTCTAAATAATGACACAGAAAACAAGCTGCATTTTGAAACAGGACTCACCCATAAATGTGTCATGCACTCTTTTCCCTTCTGAAGTTAGAAATGCAAGAATGTTACTTCAGTAGTTAGCATTGAAGTGTATGTTTCACTTTTTAATTTTTCATGTACATGAGAGAGAGAGAGAGAGAGAGAGAGAGAATCAGTGTTTGTGTGTACAAGCAATTACAAAAATCCAGCTGCAGAAAAACTGCACGTTTAAGGGCAATTGAATAATATACAGCTTGCCCTGTTCCTGCTTTTACAGCCAATTCAAAAATTGGACTTGCCAAGATGAGTATGCAGAAGGGGAGGGAAATGTTTATGCTCTCACTGTTATACAGTTTATTGGATTCTGGCTAGTATGTACCGTATATGCCGGCGTACAAGATGACTTTTGGGACCCCCAAAACATGCCTCCAAGTGGGGGCCCCGTCTTGTACGCCGGGTGCCAGGAAGGAGCTGCCACCGCCGGTCGCTGCGAGAGTGATGCGGGGCCGCGCTGGCTGGGGAGGAACGCAGGCAGGCAGGCAGGCAGGCAGACAGATGGAGGGAGGGAAACGGCGCTCGCTCGCTCACCTGTCATTCCCGCTTTCCCTCTTCCTCCTCGTCGTCCTTTCCCGCTTTCCCTCTTCCTCCACCTCCTCCTCCCTCTCGGAGGGAGGAACGCAGGCAGGCAGGCAGGCAGATGGAGGGAGGGAAGTGCCGCTCGCTCGCTCGCCCGCCCCCCCCGCTTTCCCTCCTCGTCCTCCTGCTGCTGCCCCCCCAAGCCTCTTCCTGGCGACACATTTTGGGGGGGTCGTCTAATACGGCCAGTTGCCTAGTACAGCGGCATATACGGTATTAGAGGAAAAGTTTAGAACTGAATGAAATACAGTAGAGAAAATTATCTCTTACAACAGCCTTACAAAAGTGCTGGGTATACTGTGGTTCTAGTGAAGGAATCTCTCTCTCTCTCTCTCTCTCTCTCTCTCTCTCTCTCTCTCTCACTCACACAC